CGCTTTGAAGATTGAGGTTCAGAAGTTGGTCCGAGGTGGTATCTTGTCATTCAAGGACGTTGGTTTTGAAGTTCAAATCAAACAGGCGCCGAAGAGTAAACACGATTGAGGGTGACTTTGAGTTTTTGAGGATGTTTTCGGTAGTTCAAGTGGAAAGCCTTCCCAGATTATTAACTTGTTTCTGTTTTTGTAGCTTTTCTTATTTATCGAAACATTGTTTGCATGTAAGAACTTGTTGGCATCTGAATGATTATTTTAATACAATGAGTATGTTTGTCTTGAAGAAATTCATTCGTTTCACTCATATTTGCGTTCAAATTTTAAATTTCTTTTTGCATTATGATACCAACATGTTGCCCATTCTCTTGCCTAGGCAGAGATTGAAGGGGGGATGATGATCTAAAGAACACAAAATCTTTGGTTGCATACTTTTGAATAAAATCTTGTTGATGATGTACAGGCATTGTTTCAAATCCCTAAACACCGGAGATATAAGGAAGATAATCCTTCGCTAACCCCTTTTGAGCCTTTGAAGCAGAAGTTTCTTTTCTATACGAAAAAACCTTGAATTTTAACCTGGGGCAGGGTAGCTTTCTGGTAATTTGATTGAGTGTTCAAAATTCGTAAGAAAGATGTTACCGTCACAAAATCCTCTTTATAGATGAATACTCAGTTTGAATTAACCAAGCATAGGGTTGGAGAACATCATGAAGAATGGGTGGGCACCAAACATTTCGAGCCTTAAAACCTTTTTCTAAAAAACCCATAAATCAGACCACATTACAACCTTCAAAAGTCCTAATTGAAGCAAGGTTATTTTGAAAGCATTTTTCAATGAGACAGTGTTCCTGACTCCCATGAATGTTCTAAATAGTTATGTTGGTATCATATGTTTTTCCTATACAAAAATAAATGGTGCTTTAACTCGCGAAATTTGTGCGATATCTTTCAAAATCTTCAAGACTTACATAACTGTTGCATTAGAATTTTCATTCTCATTATAAACTTTTTCTAACTGCAAAACTTTTGCTTGATATCAAGGAAGCTCACATAAACACCAGTGTTGAGTTTACCCTTTTAAGGCTTGAAACTATGTTGAGTAATTGGAGAATCAATTCAAGAAAATCATATCCAGGGGCATATCAGTTGAAGACCTTAAGCAAGGACAGGTTGCTTCTCCTAGTTGTTGCTTTTCCCAATTGGTTTGCTAGATTGGGGCAAAAATTCGAAGACTTTGTTGTGCCGACTACAGTCAATCCGGGGCAATCACGTCAGGATTTGATGATTTTCTCTAAAAGTTTGAAGACACCAGAGCATGGTAAATGCCAGGTCTTTTGTAAACCCTCTTGAGACGTTTTCTCGCCATCAACCTTTTAGCTTGGGGCATTCTAGAAGTGAAACTATTCGCAAGAATCGTCATGCATCATGCAGCTCATCAGCAGCAAGTTTGGGGCATCCAATATTGGTCCCAGGGGCAATCTAGACTTTTTAGAATGTGTGTTATGTATCGCACACTTCATCAGAGGGCGGTGTTCCCAGCTAAGCGTGACTTTCTCCAGCTGAAGATTTGTTCGTGTTGTCGACGATAGAAGACTGGACGTTGGGTTGAATATCTTCCTCTCCAAGAGATTTAAGCCTTGTAGAAGGATTTTACAGCATTGTTGGCTTTTGTCTTCTATCTCCAGTGATGTTCCCCTCCTTTTGAGATTAGTCGAGTACCGGGTTGTACTGTGATGTCTTATCATCCTCTGTCCATTTCCCCTGTCGGTTTCGTCAGCATATACATGACATTCATTTATTCATTCACCATTGCCTCATGCATGCACAATTGAATTTGTTGTTGTCTTTGAGTTCGTACACCTTGGTTGTGTCTATTCAAATAACGTATTTGATCTTTCCAAATAGAGTGCCGATTTAAGCATAAAATGTGCCTCCTTTCTAATTCCCCAACTGAGCTAATCCTCGTGGGTAATTTTTGATTTAGCTTACCTTGTCCATTTCTGGATAGGATAATTTCCCCAATCGATTTACTTTCTCATTGGGAGGAGTCTTGTTTGACTGTTTTCTCTCTGGTTATTCCTGGATGAAGTGGCTGCCTCTTGCATAGGCTATACTCTTTGATTTTCCCCAGTGAATTGCGACCTAGACGGTTGGTGCATTTATTTTGCACGTTAAAATGGATGATCTCCTCGGGAAGGATTAATTCAGGGTTCTCTTTGACGAAGATTTTATTCTCTGCCAATATCATCGCAGTTTCCTTCCGAGTTATTCTTTGGAAAACGACAAGCGGTAGCTCTTCACGAGCAACTTGTACGTTACTCTTTGAAAACGCCGAGCAGCAGTTCTTCATGAGCTACTAGTGCGTCATTTATCCTTTTTGGGAATCGCCGAGCAGCAGTTCTTCATGAGCTACTAGTGCGTCATTGTGAAAACGCCAGCAGTTCTTCATGAGCTACTAGTGCGTCATCGTCATTTTATCTTTCGGAAAGCGCCGAGCAGCAGTTCTTCATGAGCTACTAGTGCGTCATTTTTATTCCGTTGGAAATCGCCGAGCAGTAGTTCTTCATGAGCTACTAGTGCGTCATTTATCTGTTTTCAAAGCGCCGAGCAGCAGTTCTTCATGAACTACTAGTGTGTCATTTACTCTTTTTGAAAGCGACAAGCAGCAAACTCTTCATGAGTTACCAGTACGTTATTATTCTTCGGAAAACAGCAAGTGGTAGCTTCTTTATTTGAGCAGCTTGTATGTTATCGGTATTTTCTTCGGAAAACAGCAAGTGGCAGCTTCTTTATTTGAGCAACTTGTTTGTTATTGGTATTTTTCTTTGGACGACAGCAAGTGGCAGCTTCTTTATTTGAGCAACTTGTATGTTATCGGTATTTTCTTCGGACGGCAGCAAGCGGCAGCCTCTTTATTTGAGCAACTTGTTTGTTATCGGTATTCTCTCTGGACAACAACAAATGACAGTTTTCTTTATTTGAACAACCTTCGTATCTACAGTCTCATTGCCTCAGCATTAATGAGTATACCTCTGGGAAGCTAGCAGAGAAGTCTGTTACGAATCATTACCTCCAGAAGTCGGTAATCTGTTATCAGCAATTTGATACTCTCTGTCTACCATTGACCTTGAGTCGCGAACTCACTGTTTTGGATCAATGATCTGTTATAGCCTATGCAAGATGCTCTCTTTGTTAGGGTTAGAGGTTGTTTACCCTCGATTTTATTCGCTGTCGGGAGTCTGTTGTTTGAAGTCGATAGTTTGTCTCCCCAGTAATGTATAATCCGAACCGCTGTGTTTTGTTGGTGTTCGATTCCCCCAACATTGTCTTGTTTCACACAATATCTTTCTCTGTGAATTCATGCACTACGTTCATATCACTGCATGATGACGGCATCATAGGACAAAATTTGCGTAGTTATGTATTTAAGTACCTTCAATCTCGTCGAAACGAAGATTTCAAATCTTCATATTTCCGGATAGAAGGAACTTAAATAGGGGCAGCTGTTGTACCCCAAATTTTGACCTAAGATACCGTCTTCCATCTGCATCATTCGCATCGCAAGAGTTTTGGACCATTTTTATCAAATTTTCAAAGCAGTTTAAAAATTCATAACTTTTTCGAGTCGGAAGCTGTTTATTTGTTGAACGCTAAATTTATTAACTGATCAAGACTTAAACCATGTTCATTAATTATTTATTATCTTAAATTCAAATAATTGGAATTTATTTTCGATTATTACGTAATTTAAAGACTTATAAATAATAAAAAGAATATTTGAGAAAAGGTTTATTAATGGGTCAAATAATGTTTATTAATTATTCATTATCTTAAATTTAAATAATGGGAACCTGTTTTTCGTTATTATATAATTTGAAGGTTTATGAATAATGAAATAAACATTTGAAAATGAGTATATTAATTGATCAAGCAATGTTTATTTAATTATTTATTGTTCTAAATTTAAATAGCTGAAATTCTATTTTTAAAGTTATTATAATTTAGAAGAATTAAAAATAATAATAAAATAAATAATTGAAGTTATTAATTGATCAATGATGTTTATTTATTTGTTTATCATTTTAAATTTAAATGATTGAATTTGATTTTTAATCATTATATAATTTAAAGAATTATAAACAATAAATAAATAATTGGAAAGAAAAAGAATTAATTGAAATAATAGAATTTTTATTCACTTTATTCTATTTATTACAATTGTCATTTAAATGTTGTGTTATTACAAAATATTTATAAAGACAATTACATAAATGCTTAAAGTAAATAAAAAAACTATTTTTCTAAATTCTAATTCTAAATCTTCAATCCAATGCTCTTGTTCGCTCATTTAATTTTACCTGCGAAAACGATTAAAAGAAAGGAATTAGAATTCAAATAAATAATTAAAATGCAGAAAATAAATTCAATGTTCATCATTAAAAGCAATGGCCGGAATCAGTTACTTTTTTTGCAAATCACGGGATTTCTCCCGGTTCACAAAAAAAAGAGGAATTTTTTAAATGAATGCACAATTAAAAAATAGCACATTTTCAAAATCATTTGCATTTTTATCAAAAAGCCCACTGCATATTTCACATATGCATAAATACTTTTTTGGTCAAAACTGCATAAGTAAATCACAGCATACATAATTTCAAAACAAACATGTGCAAGGTACACAACAAGTAACGTTAACCTATACCCTTATAGCAGAATAATATAGGTTAATGCAAGACAAAAAAACAATATGCAATTTCAAACCATGTGCAATTTTAAAACTATGTATGCAAGCAACCTATATTCCTCTTTTCATCATTTTTCCAGCCTATTGCTTTTTCAGACAAATGTACAGCATATCACATTTATATATATATCATTTCTGTACTTGGGAGAGAGAGAGAAGAGGTTCAATTTTGCAGGTTTTGGCCTAAGCATGAATTGGGAATAAAGTCAACCACATGTAGCAGCATATATGCAACATCAGAAAATATATTAAATATTCAAAACCTGAGCCAAAAGAAAGGAGCAACGGCTATATTTGAAATCCCTTCAAAAGGAAGATATAACCGGCAAGGGATCTGGACCAAGATTATTATCAAAACCCATCCAAGCTGATAAAACAAAAAGCTTAAGCATAACTTGCAAGCCAAAACCTGCCCACCTGCTTTAGAACTCAAACACGCATAAGCCATGGCCAAGGTAAAACCTGTTACCTGCATCAGTAAAACCTGCATACTGCTATCATTCCCAAACAAAGCCTACCATTCAAAAAACCAGAATCACTACAAAACTACCAAAAAAATATATTCCACTTCCACACCATAACCATCACTTGCTTAAGCATTTGCAAAAAAACCTGCTACTGCTATCCAAGACCATAGTCCACTTTGGCAAAACCATAAAAAAACAGTATAATTCAAAAACATCCAAAAAAACCATTTATTCATATTTCAACCAGTTTTTTAGACAGAAAAGAAGAGAAGAATTAATGGCAGAAAGCAAGGAGCGAGGAGTCTTCGGAGCTTACCTGACTTCGCCGGAATCGTACCGTCGGACTAGCTCCGACCATGTGAGTTTTTTTTGTTTTTCGCATAAACCTTCATACCGTTGCGTTGCCTTTGTCTCACTTAATGATCCTCTCTTAATTTCCTGAAAACATGTAAATGGCCAGTTAATATCGTTGCAAATCGTCAATGAACCTGCATCATACATGAACAAAAATAGTCCAATAGTGAATAATAACACCAACCATTTAACACTTTTAACAACCCCGTTTCTATTTCACTAACAAAAATGAAGTCCTTAACTAGTTTTCATAGTCTAGTTACTAACTGTCGAACTTTCTATTAACATTGAACTAGCATTCAATTAGCTCACAAATTATTGGATCCATAATAGTCCTTAGCAGTAACTTCGCATTTTATTCATTAACTTATTAACTTTCTATGACATTTTTTTTCAAAACAACAATAACAATAGCTTAACATTCTGCCAAAATAATGACACCGACCTGTTAACCAAATTCTAAACCTGCACATACAAATCTTTCACCATGCACAAACCTTTGATTCATTAAATCACTAATGAACCTTATCATCTTTTCCAAACAATAACCTTCAAGTCCAAACATCGAATCTCAAACATGGATATATAATGAAACCATATTACAAAAACCTGCTAACATTCATAGCAAAAATCACCCATCATACTCCCTCTGTACAACATACTCCCCTCTGTCAAATAACCTTCACCTATAAACCAACAACCTTCATCTCACAGCGTAAAATCCATCTTTCTCCCTTCTTGTTCTGCCCTCAACCGTAGACCTCAACTCCCCACTACCATCACAGTTCCTCCGCCTATGCCTACCGGTCCAACACCCAATCACTTCTGTCGTTACCGAATCCACACTTCCGTAAACCATCATAAACCGCACAGTAGCCCATTTCTCTCATCCGTTCACATTCCCCAAATGCCATATTTCCTTAAGCTTCCTACCAAACATATACACCCTTCAATTTCCTTAATACCGAAACTACCTTTTCACGCAACACAACAAACTTCTAACAGATATCCACTATTAAACTGTAACCTATATTATTTCCAGTACTTCAAATTACATCACTAGATTCCCACTATACCTCCATTTTCGCACATCTCTACATATAACTAGAAGGTGATGCAGAGAAACAAAGAGGAGTGGAAGAATTTGCCTTACCTGTCGGAAGCAAGCTTTGGTAGGTCTTGATTTTGGTGATGCAGCGAAATCCAAAACTGATTCATAATTTGTTATTCTCTGCACCGATTCTTCTTTCTCTCTTCTGCGTTTCCGTTTCTCCTCTCGCGTTCTGGGTTTGATTTGTGGCGTTTTTGAGGTGAGGATGTTTGTTTGCGTTGGTTGAAACGGAATGGAGGTTGATGGTTGGGAATTCACCAGCGGCGGCCACAACACACAGCGATTCCAAGGGTTTTTTTCTTTCTTGTTACAGCCCTGCGTTTTTCCTTGGATCCGGGTCTTCCAACGACCCGCCCCATCTCTTCTCAACCCAGCTCAGTTTTTTTTTTTTTGCTTAAGCCCATGTGCTTTGTTCTTGCTACTTAAGCCCATCTTTTATGTCCCTTTAGTTAAATTCTAGTCATTTTCTTAAACTAATTAATCTAGACTAATTAGTTTCTTAGAAATAACATATAGTTTTAATTAAATAATGTCTAATATTTTGTCCAAATCTTATTAGTTTAAGTTTTAATTTAGTAAATCAAAATAAGAGATGTAACTTAAAACTTTTTTTAATATTTGACTAATTTTATTAATTTAAACTCTTAGGATTTAATTTAATAATCTTAGTATTTTTTTAATTTAGACTTAAGTTAGTAGCATTAAATTTTAATTTAATTTAAAGAATTCTTAAAAGTAATACTTTTTATTTATAAAAGACATAAAAAATAGAACATATAAAACTTAAAGAACATTTCTAGTAATTCTCGTTATTTCTTTTTATCTATGTTAAAATGCGTAAAAAAGTGAAAACCAATTAAACTTTTTCTTTTCGCCTATTAAACAAAAATCATATAAAATGCATGTTCACATTTAATTGTTGTGTATCATTTTCTGTCAATTATTTCATTGTACTTGTTTATTCTGTTTGCACCAATCCAAAGGGAATAGTCTAATTTTTTGTTGACTTCATGTCCTCAAAAAACGATCGAGCGAGTACCCTCATTTCATTGAAACTTAGGATAATTTTTCCAAATATCCGATTTCTCCAAAACTCACACCTTTTAAGTCAAAACTTCGACATTAGGTCATCGTATCTTCAAAAACCCGTCCGTATCCCTTTTTCGGCCAAAACGATTTATTTTCAATCAAGCGATCAATTTTAAATAAAACAGATATTTCAAAAGGTTCCTATAGAGTACTATAGATGCATTGGGTGCTAATACCTTCCCATTGTATAACCAACCCCCGAACTCTCGATCTCTTTTCAAAAACGCTTTGTATTTTCAGTATTATTTACATTGCATATTTAGGGTTTTATTTCGCTCTTTTCCCTTTTCCTTTGGAAACAATAAAGCGCGGTGGCGACTCTTGCTTTTGCGAGACGAATTAATCAATAATTCGATCTCCGATTTACCCCGCTACATTTTTATCGCTACAGAATTGGCGACTCTGCTGGGGAATAGGAAGATTGACCTCTTGCTGGTCCATCCCTAAGTGGGAAGCCTAATTTGTTTTAATCTGGAAGTTGGATGAACCGGCGTACTGCTGTGAGCTCGAGGCTGAGAAAGTGACTGAGAAACCCTGGTATCACGAGGTGAAGAGGTACTTGGAAGCTCAGGAATACCCTGAAGGCACATCCGTCAATGATAAGAAGTTCATGAGGAGATTTGCTGCAAAATTCTTCCTCAGCAACGGCATTCTCTACAAACGGAATCATGATTCAACCCTGCTACGTTGTGTGGATAAGGCTGAAGCGGAGAAAATCATGATGGAACTGCATGAAGGTACATTTGGAACCCATTCCAGTGGACACACCATGGCTAAGAAAATCCTTCGGGCAGGATATTTCTGGTCCACAATGGAAGCCGATTGTTACCAACACTCCCGAACTTGTCATAAGTGCCAGATCTATGCTGACAAGGTGCATATCCCTCCAGTTCCTTTGAATGTCCTAACGGCACCTTGGCCTTTCGCAATGTGGGGCATCGATATGATCGGTGAGATCCGACCGACGGCATCCAATGGGCATCGCTTCATCTTGGTGGCGATCGATTACTTCACGAAATGGGTTGAGGCAGCTTCCTATGCCACAGTAACCAAGAGCGTCGTGGCGCGTTTCATCCGGCATAATCTGATCTGTCGGTACGGCGTCCCAGAGAGAATCATTACGGACAATGGTACCAATCTCAATAACAAAATGATCACCGAACTCTGTGAACAATTCAAGATACAGCACCACAATTCTTCTCCCTACCGGCCGAAGATGAATGGGGCTGTAGAGGCAGCCAATAAAAATATCAAGAAAATTGTGCAGAAGATGACAGTGACCTATAAAGATTGGCACGAGATGTTACCGTTCGCTCTTCATGGGTACCGCACCTCAGCAAGGACATCAACCGGGGCAACTCCTTTCTCCTTGGTCTATGGCATGGAGGCAGTCTTGCCAATTGAAATCCAGATACCCTCTCTCCGGATAATGAAGGATGCAGACTTGAATGAAGATGACTGGATCCAGACTCGACTTGATCAATTAAATCTGATTGACGAAAAGAGGCTCACTGCTATCTGTCATGGTCAAACGTATCAGAAACGGATGATCAGGGCATTTAACAAGAAAGTCAGACCGCAAGAGTATCAAGTTGGGGACCTGGTAATCAAACGCATCATCCTTCCACAAAGTGATCCCCGGGGCAAATGGACCCCTACTTACGAAGGGCCATTTGTGGTTAAGCGTGTGTTCTCAGGAGGAGCCATGATCCTAACCACCATGGACGGTGACGACCTTCCTCACCCCGCCAATGCAGACATAGTGAAAAAATACTACGCATAAATAAAAGACCCGCTAGGTTGACATACCTAGGCAAAAACAAGGGCTTCCCGGCGAACCAAAAGGGTTCGGGCAAAAATAAGGGATGAAATGAATAAAAATCTGTACACCTGGCAAGTCGAAAACCTGAAAGGGCGGCTTGGGCAAAAAAGGGTATCCCGGTGGACTGAAAACCCGAAAGGGCGGTCCAGGCAAAAGTTAGGGATAAAAGCGTAACACTATGTCTCATTGGATCACTTCGCATCCGGAATTCGGCACCAACTACCTGGCTCCAGATTTCGGCATTGACCAATCAGCTTCATCTTCAAATTAAGCAGCAAAGCGATGAGATGTTCGAAGACATAAAGGCGATAGCAGAGTTGGAACCCAGTGGGATTGTTCACATAGCTGTTTTGGTTTCCTTTTTCAAATTATAAACTCTATGCTATTTGGCGATATCCTCTTACTAGGATGTCAGCCTCTTGTACAAAAACGCCTATTCACGGGCAAAGTTTAAATCAATACAAATTCACTTGTCCATACAAATTACCATTGTTTTCCTTTTTTTGTTTTGTCTCGCGAAGAACGTCCAATGTTCATTTTTGATATATGCATTTGACATTAAATTGCTGATTCATAAATGTTTGCATATAAAACAAGAGATTAATTACAGGTGACATCAAAGACAGGGGCAATGTGGAATTGTCTAAAGCAGTCTAGTTGTTTTGTCCGCCAAGGCACCAAGGTAGGTTCAACTGAAAAATGTGGCCAAATCATCTTAACTCCCCGCAGAGTAAAACAAGGTTCGACAATACGGAGTTGATTCCCCGCCGATTCCGAAAGCACAACATTCCCCAGTAGATTCTGCAAGCTTATCCCCTGCAGAGTACGGACGTCTCTCCCGAGTTTTATTTAGAGTTATTTCCTCACAAGGACTTATAACTGGGTTATCCTCAGCTAAAAGCCACGGAAGACCGCTCTCGGCAAAGTTCCTTCAATCCCCAGCGGAGTCTATCTTTGGTATTCCCAAGCAGAGTTTATCTTCGGAGTTCCCCAGCGGAGTTTATCATCATTATCCTCAGCGGAATCTGTCATTAAATTCCTCGACAGGCCTCCCATCAAAACTCCGACCAAGTATCTCTTCCACAGAGCAATTCTCCGGCCGTTCGTCAAGGATTTATTTTCCTAAGATGAAATTACACTCATAAACGTTTCACATTCTCATACATCTTGCTTACATACAATATCTCATGTTGAACATCATGATATCATGCATATCATACATCATGACATTGCATACAACTTACGTTTTTTGCCTTTTTCAGGAAAAAGACAATCTCAAAAACGACTACCTTCAACTATCACATTTCCAGACTCGACTCCTGTATCTAGCCAGGGCACGTCTGCAGAGTTCAAAGATTCGATTCCTGTATCCGGCCAGGGCACATCTATCAACTTCAACATTTCCAGATTCGATTCCTGTATCCAGCCAGGGCATATCTGTTGACCACGTTTCCAGACTCGACTCCTGTATCTAGCCAGGGCACGTCTGAAGAGTTCGAAGATTCGATTCCTGTATCCAGCCAGGGCACATCTATTGACGACTATTTCCAGATTCGACTCCTGTATCCAGCCAGGGCACATCTGTGAGCAACCGATTGTAGATTCGGTACCTGTATCTAGCCAGGGTATATCTGCATAAAGAGACTGAAGATCAAACACCTGTAACAAGCCAGGAAAACATCCTCCTTCCTCAAATATACAAGTTTCTCGCAAAGGAATCTCTTATGCGACCGACACTTCCAAATGGCATCTGTAAGCCCATTCCCGACAAGGTTCTGTCACCTCTCCAGATGGCATCTATAAGCCCATCTCCCTATCCACCATCTCTCCAAATGGC